TATTTTTTATTCCATAGTAAGGGCAATTCATACAATACATTTAAACTGAGCTACTTTAATACCATCTCCGAACTTTCTACCACGACTCTGCTGCTCTTTGGCTGGTTCTTCCCTGTATACGTTCATTGACAGATGTCTCGTCCAGTCAGCGGTGAGTAATCCCAGACCAATGGCGCTGTCTCAAACTATACCTACCTTTTCCGGTTTGTCTGATTTGTCGTTGTGTTTTCTGACTTGTAAATTTGTTTTCGGATTTGTCGTTGTGTTTTCTGACACAGATGTCTCGTCCAGTCAGCGGTGAGTAATCCCAGACCAATGGCGCTGTCTCAAACTATACCTACCTTTTCCGGTTTGTCTGATTTGTCGTTGTGTTTTCTGACTTGTTCATTTGTTTTCTGAATTGTTGTTGTGCTTTCGGAATTGTTATTTTGTTTTTTAGACTTGCATTTGCGTTTGTAATTTGTTATTTTGTTTTCAGAATTGTGATCTGCTTTGCACTTCTCGGCCACCGTACGATTGTGTGTGAATACAATTTAAATAATTTGAGACTCAATTTCCACTGTTAAACAAACTTTTATTTCAAATCATTTACCATCTTTCTGCGTACCCCCTCTCTTCTACTTAGACTGCAACTTTTCCATTAAAGGACAATATTTGCCCCTAAATTGAATTTCCAGTGCATTTTTTTTTAATCTTTATAAATACAATATTAATAATGTTTGAAATAAAAAAAATGTTCAATAGAATAATATGCAATGATGATAAAAAAAAGTGAAAAGTGAAAAGTGATTATTTTAAATACAAAAACCGCCAGTAGGTGGCAGTAAGTCACTGTATTAAAGTCCCCATGAAATCTAAATTAAAGTTTTTTGGGTGTTAGTATCAATATGTTAGTCTTAAGGTTATCTATAAGGCAGTGTGCTCCAAAACAGTGACAAAATTCGCATTTATAAGATATAAGCATTCAAAGCTTGCAGTTCGTCACTTCCGCCAAAACGGCTCAATGTCAATGATTTTTTTGACGTCACATCGTACTTTATCTTCTCATCAAATCTTCTGACCAATCAAATGCTCTCTAGAATCTGAAGCGCACAAACGGGATTTTGAAAGTGTGTGTGTGTGGGGGGGGGGATATGTCCCCCTTGTCCCCAGTGGAAATTACGCCCCTGACTTTGACTACAAATAAACAGAAACAGACTTGACTGAATGTGCCCTCTTTCTTTTGTGAAATAACGGTTCATACAGGAAAGCATTTTTGCAACTTGTAATCATGTGATGTAAATCCTGTATGATAGAGGATGCGATCATAGGCTGTAGCCTAACCTGTGAGTATAAATCCTGTATAGGCTAGAGGTGTTTCCAACAAATAGTCTACCCTATAATTTAAAACCTTGATTGTGCACATATGTGTGTGTGTGTGTGTGTGTGTGGATGTGGGGGGGGGCCCCGAAAAGACATTGTGCCCTGGGGCCTCTGAATTCATAATCCAGGCCTGTTCATACCGCTTTATTTCTGTGTGACTAATTTTCAATCCTGATAAATTAACTCATTATATGATCAATGTATCACTTATTATCGCAAAACATCGAGGCTTTTGGATTTAAATCTTTAAAAAAGCATGCAAACAA